CCTGCGTACTCAGTGAATTCAGAGGAATATAACCTACTCCATGAGAAATTCCACATGTAGGATAAGTCCAAGTCAATAAATTTGTTGTTCCGTGAAACATCGTCTACACCGCTCGCATGAGCTGGTTATATGAACATGGCTTCTATTTACTAAATTGATACACAGAAACATCCTACGTTATGGGAGATTCCACTTGCGTAATATGGGCATGAAAAACAGTTTGTGGTGCCGTAAAACCTCACTGAAAATCACACTTCTAAACATCCCGGGTCAGCCGTTTGATTCACAGTCTGCATTCTTTGTCCTACCACGATCACTCTCTTTAAGTGCCCAGCTCCGTGCCTCCAGCTCGCTGTACAACACAGTACAACATGGCCTTACCTTGTGCATTGTTTGGCGCTTCCCCAACTCATGGACACAACGAATATCCTAACTGTCTCAAAATACCAAGGGAAATGAAGTGATCAACTGATAGACCGACGATCTGTTTGAATAATTGTGTTGCAAATTTTGGAGGCAAATGAATTTGCCCCAAGAGAATGAGGCAGGCACAATATATTCTTACACCTATTAATGGGCTGATATCCACGATATCTGATTTAAACTCTGACTCACACAGTGGAACATATATCGATAACAGATTGTCCAGCTGCCAAACTGTGTAGGAATAGAAAGAAATAATGCATCTGTATGTCATCGAAGTCATCGAAACAATATATCGTTGATCAGATGCCACCCTCGAAAGAACTCACGTGAGGTAATCCCATATGACATATATTATCTGGTCAATAACAATATATGTGACTGGAGAGTTCTTGTCTCCTACTCCTGACCTTCGGGACCACCAAGGTGATTATTACTAATATTATTATTATTATTATTATTATTATCATTACCACCACTCTGGTTGTCATCGCCATCTTCATCGTGACCATCATCAAACTCACCATTGTCAACATCAACAACGTTCGCTATAAATGACCACATGCTCACACCATCCTGGAAGAATACATATGCATATACATATGTGTATATATAATAGAAAATGTATCACCGATATTCCAAAAATGATATTTGATTGGGGACAGGGTGTTGAGAAACTCCTAACGTGGATAGTCCACTCTACGATGATTTTGTTTGTATGGTACGTTGAAAAATGCGCGAAAACTCACGGTGATCTTGCGTCGATGCAAAGTTTGCGAAGCATAATACTGTGACCGCAAATACTAGCAAATCCAGCGTTTTCATCTTCACTGAAAATTGACTCAAATGGCGAGGCCGTCCGTCAACTAATTTCTGGCACACTTTCTCGATAAGGTTGTGCTAACTGAGAGTATTCATTGAAAGAATCCTAATTAACACGAGAGCCTGATTGGCTGTCCTGTGCGGATCATGAATTGGACGAATGCCGAGCTAGGAGTAGTAAGTCATCTTTTTCTGGTTCACAGACAGAGCTTCAGGCTTCCAAATGTGCATCTCAATCCCTGCGTGAACACATGAAGACCGTTCAATTCCAAGCTGCAACGCTGCGTGTTCAAGTCACTTCATGGAATAATGCGGGATGTGATGCGCAACAATTCTTTGTTTCTTTGACCACCCACTAAAGTGAATTCTAGCTATCCTCATTCCCCGTCCCATAACAACTGCTCGCTTTATCTGTTTAGACCCGCCCGTCCTGATCGTTGTTTTGGGCATCGCAGTTCAGCTTGGCGTTGCCTCGCGTGTTGTGCGGAAATGCCCACTATTTTTA